TTCAGTAGGTACTAGCTCTTTTTTGTACACGGGGTAGAATTTGGCTATGAATTCATCTGATCCAGAGTTTTTCCTGTTTTGTAGGCTATTTATGTCTGATTTCATTTCAAAACTTGTCACTGGTCTGGGAATTCCTTTTCTTCCTGGTGCAGTATTGGGTGGGTGCATGTGTCCAGGAATTTATCCATTTCTTCTAGATTTTCTTGTTTGTGTGCAGAGGTGTTCATAGTAGTCTCTGATGGTTATTTGTATTTTCATGGGGGAGGTGGAATATTTCCTTTATGCTTTTTGATTGTAATTGTTTGGATCTTGTCTCATTTCTTCTTTATTGGAGAATTGGTATCTTCATATTCCTGATCAAATTAGGAATATGATCCCATTTACAATTGCCACAGAAGAATAAAATACCTAGGAATGCAATTATCCAGGGAGGTGAAAGATCTCTGCAATGAGAATTTGAAAATACCACTCAGAGACAGTTCTAGCTAGCCTAGGACTATCTATCTTATTAGCCATATGTTATTAGGTTGTTATTATGCTGGTTTGTTTGTGTGGTTGCTTTATAGTGTCACTGGTCTGTTTACGTAAGTGTGTTTTCATAGTGGCTGATACCAGTTTTTTCTTTCCATATTTAGCGCTTCTTTTAGGGCCTCTTATAAGCCAGGTCTTGTGGTACCAGATTCTCCCAGTATTTGCTTGTCTAAAAAGGATCTTATTTCTCTTTTGCTTATGAAGGTTAGTTTGGCTGGATATGAAATTATTGGTTGGAATTTCTAAGAATGTTGAATATAGACCCCAGTATTTTCTGGCTTGTAGGTTTTCTGCTGGGAGGTTTGCTGTTATTCAGATGGGCTACCTTTTGTAGGTAACCAGTCCTTTCTCTCTAGCTGCCTTTAACATTTTTTTCTCTCATTTTGACCTTGGAGAATCTGATGATGATGTATCTTGAGGGTGATCTTCTTGTGAAGTGTTTTGTGGGGGTTCTCTGCACTTCTGAATTTGAATGTTGGCCTCTCTAGCTAGATTGGGTAAGTTTTCATAGATGATATCCTGAAAAATGTTTTCCAAGTTGCTTCCATTTCCCCCATCTCTTTCAGGGATGCCAATGAGTTGTAGATTTAGGCTCTTTACATAATAATGCCATGTTTCTTGGAGGTTTTATTTATCTCTTTTCATTCTCTATTTTTATTCTTGTCTGACTGTCTTATTTTAAAAAGTCAGTCTTCAAGCTCTGAGTTTCTTTCCTTAGCTTTTTCTATTCTGCTGTTCATACTTATGAATGCATTATAAAATTATTTCATTGTGGTTTCAGATATATTAGGTTGGTTACATTCTTTTCTATTCTGGCTATTTTGTCTGTCAGCTCCTGTATCATTTTATTGTGATTCTTAGTTTTCTCAAATTGGATTTCAACATGCTCCTGAATCTCAATATCTTTGTTTTAATCCATATTCTGAATTCTCTTTCTCTCATTTGAGCCATCTCAACTGAGTTAAGAACTATTCTTAAAAATCTAGTATGATCATTTGGAGGAAAGAAGATGCTCTGGTTTTTGTAGTTGTCAGAGTTCTTGTGCTGTTTTTTCTCCTCTTTGTGGACTGATGTTCCTTCTATCTTTGAAGCTACTGTCCTTTGGATGGTCTTTCTTTTTCTTTTATCCTATTTGATGACATTGGGTGTTTGATTGTGGTATAAGGTGGGAACAACCAACTGGCTTCATTTCTGGAATGTTTTAGAGGGTCAAGGCTCAGCTCAGGACCCCTGGGTGCATGCTCTAACTCCAGGGCTCTGGTATTGGGCCCTCATTTTGTTCTTTGGCTTCTTGAGGTTAGGAAGGAAGCTGCTTCATTGGAGGTGCCATGGTGCTCCAGAATGCTGGTCACAACACTCTAATGGGTGGTGCCAGCCAAAGCACTTCATAGGGCAGTGGCAGCAGGATCCATCCTGGTTCACATGTATCAGCAGCACAGGCAGTGGCAGCATGTCAGATTGCATGCTCACGGGCTTTGGTAGGGTGCTAGTTGGTGCCAGGCTGCCAGCCTCCATGTAGTTGTTCTCAGCAGTATGGTGGCATCATCCCTCAGGGGTTCAGGGCCCCTTCCAATGTCTGTGCACTCATTTGTGCTATTCGTGGTGTTAGCATGGGGACAGGATACTGGCAGACGCAGGATTGTGTGTGCCTTCTGTGAGTATTCACACTGGCAGCCTTGGCTGCTCAGGACAGGGGTGGTTTTGCTGTTCTCCCTCTAAAGTTTCTCTCTGGTGGCAATATCAGAGAGATTGATATTCTGCTGTTTTAATATCAGAAGAATTAAATAGGGGGCAGGGCTAGCGTGCTCTATGCTTGCCAATGCTCCAATGACAATGGCTGCTCTGCAAGGGGTAAAGGCGGAGTGCACTCACATTGGCAGCAGTGGCACAGCAGGGTGCATGTGCACACACATACTAGTGGGTAAGAGAAGGGAAGGTCCCCTGGTGCACACGTGCACCAACAAAGTAATGTGGTGATGGGGGGGTGGCTGTGGGTGAGTGTGTGCAGGCAAAATGACACAGGTGAGCCTGTGGGGGTTGGGGGAGAGTACAGGTGAGCTGGGATGTGACTGCAGGGGCTATTCTGCCAAACACTCTGCCAGTCAGGCATGGTCCACCAGTGCAGGAGCTATGATCTGAGCCCCCAAGGTACCTGGCGGCTGCACTGTAAGCAGGTGCCACTAGGTTGGAGCCCTGGGAGAGGCCAGCAGACCAAGAGGTGCCCAGGTCAAACCAGCCCCATCCCATGGGCAATATTACCCTGCAATCTTAAGGTCCAACAGTTCCCCTAGGGCTCAAGTCTCCTGTGGGAGCAAGTTGAGCCTAGGAGTATGGGTAACCCTGGCTGTGTGGTTCACTACAGATGCTCCAGACCACACTCTCTGGGCTTCATACCAGCAGGAGCTCTACTTCTATCACTTCTCTAAGCAGGTCTTTCTGTCAATTCAAGTATCTATGGTGGTCCAGGGGTCTTCTCCTGCTGGGATTTCAGAAACTGGGTTGCTCCTTGCCTATTTAACCCATGCCTTTGTAGGAGTCGCTGGCGGCCAGAAGCGAGTTCTAGTGTTCCATTGTTCCGTGTAGGGTTCACATCTTCCTCCTCCTTCAGCCCAGCATCTGCTTTTTCCCTCCATCTGCTCTCAATGTCTTCAGACGCTAGCAGTGTGCCAGCCTTTCCAATGTCCGGGTCTCTCAGTGGAAGATATTCCTCCTGGCTGTGTCTAGTTGACTCTCTTGGAGGAGAAATCCCTGATTGAAAATCTATTTGCAGCAAAACCTATTTCATAACTCAAAACCTTGGGCTGCTGGGAATTTTAAATTCAACCACACTTAATTGAGGCTTTAATTATGCTATTCAGTTCTGGTGCTTTGATACATTAGAGCAGTATCATGGATACTGACCCCACCTTTGCTAACTGTGTGCCACAAAGCTCCTTGACTTAAATGATATTTGCATGTCAAGTCCCCAGGCCTAACATTGCCTTCATACTCCACGTGTGGCTCAGCCTCATTATAGTACCATAGACCCACAAAAATAAGACCCAAATCAACTCAAGTTTGTGATCATTTGAAAAGGTTGTCCCATATCACAGTTCCAGTTTCAGTTTTACATTATAGGTGATATTGCTTCAGCCCAACTTTGACCTTGAAGATGACTTTGCCCCCTTTCCCAGAAACAACTTCACCCAGGATACTGAGATCACCACCCCAGAAACATTACATATGCTGGCTTTCCTAAGGAGCTGAAAAATTGGACACAGAACATTTATCATTTTACTTCCTTTGATATGAGAAATTGTTTCATTCCCTGAATTTAGCATTTGCTTACTTCATACCCTTATACTCTGCCAAAATGTACCTCTTAATACTTCCACACCTAAAGAAAAATCTGGTAGAGTGTACTGGTCTTTGTGCCATTCTAATAATTAATGAGATTATTTGTTTTTCCAGGAAGTAACTGCCACATATGGGTTCACCCCTCAACCCCGCAGACAGAGGACCTCCCATTGCCCGCTACCTCGTCTGACACTTTCCACTCCAGTTTGCTGCCGCAACGTCCTGCCCCGCATCCATGACCACAGCTGCTACCTCTTCCCCTAGGTCACAAACGTCACTAATCTTTACATATATCTTACTTAACTAACTTCATACTCTCCAAAACTGTAATTGTTGGATCTGCCACCTTGAACCCTGGAATATATGAGACTACTATCACACACACAAAAATACAACTCATGCTTTAACATACTTTAATTCAATCAGCATATTGTTGGAGATCCTGGAAATCCCAGATCTGTTTTCTTGGCTAAGGCCATACAATGTGCAACTTGGTTATGAACCAGGCTACAAGGACCCCTTATACTCCTGCTTGTTTTCCTCCTTTTAAAGGAAAAAATAATAAAAATTTTTTTATGCTATTTAGGCCAATGTATGCACTACTCTAAAAGTCTTTTCTGCAATTTAGGCCACTCAAATACGTCAAGTAATCAAGCTTAACATTAATGTGGAGATCACGAGGTCAATTTTAACATGGTTTTCATGTCAAAAAAAATGCCTTCTAGTCCCAGTTTTGAGCCCCTAATGGTTGGTCAGCTTCCCATTTGAATATCTGATAGTCAGCTATGTCCCAGAGCTTGTGAAGTCATTCAGATTAGCTTAGGCACAGGGTTTTCAGGAAACCTAATCCTGCTCCAATTGCCATATATATAAGGTGTTCTCTACAGCTCCAGTGTGTTTTTACCCAGTCCCTGTGTGCAGTCACTGTGCAGCCCTACATAGAAGTCTTTTGTTTGGAGCTATAAGTAACAAAGAGATTTGCCTTTCATCTATCCAAGATAGTCTTTGTGTTGTAGGTCCTGTCATCAAAAGAATCTTTAATCTCTTAAAACAGGAGGGAAGAATCTTTGCTTCTATCCTAGTTTACAGTGGTTTTCTGGCAACACTTGGTTTTCTTTGGCTTGTAGAAGAAGCATCACTCTGATCTCTGCCTTTGTCTTTACATGGTGTTCCTATGTAGGCACCCAGTTTTCCTTTTGTTATAAGGACACCATAAGAAGCTAAGAAGTGCAAAAGAAGAGAAAAAGAATAAATCAAAGGCACCAGTTATATTGGAGTAGGGACCAGGATGGCCACATCTTAACTAATTATATCTGCAATGATCCTATTTCCAAATAAGGTCATCTTCTGAGGTACTGGGGATTAGAATTTCAACAAATAAATGTTGGTAGGGGGTGCGCTATTCAACCCATGACTGAAAGTACTTATTAAAGACACACATATCTTATAACACACTTATCTTATAAACTAACGATTTAATTCCTAGGTATATATCCAAGAAAATGAATGTACACATAGACCAAAAATTATGTACAAAAAAAAGAATATTCTTAGCTTTATGTTAGCCCCAAATTGGGACAATCTAAATTTACAGAAAAAGGAATAAATTGGGATACAATTATTAAAATTTGCTATACAGCATTAACAAACTATGCAAAGAATTCCATGTACTTGAAGTTCAAAAACTGTCAGAATGAATTAATGCTATTAGAAGTCTAAGTAGTATTTATCTCTGGAGGAGAAGATATTAGCACAGAGGGAACAAAGGACACTTTGAGTAATAAAAATTATTGACACTTTGGTTTCAGAAGTAATTGGATGAGTGCATATATATGTAAAAATTCATCAAGCTGTATACTCAAGATATGTTCATTTTACCATACGTAATTTATACTCTCAAAACGCTGCTTTTCAAATTAATTGTTATATAATTAATCTTGTTACTTCAGTGCTGTGGGAGAAGCAATAAGTAGTAAGCACTGTTTTTTTTGGTTTATTACTCAGCAAAACGCACTGACACTTTCTGTCTGTGGCTAATCAGTCAAAAACATATGCAATAAAAGCAGAAGTTAAAGATCAGCAAGATGACGAACATGTTTTGCAATCCTGTTGAAAAGAGAACAAACAAAAGTGATCAAGAGAAACAGACTAAGTCTGTTGATTGATTTAAAGTGGATTTATGTTTAAGTAGAAAACTACTTCAAATGCATATGTGGGGAAGATGTCCACTTCAATGTCACTGATCTCCATCATTATCATGGTATCTGGTAAGTCTGATACTGTGACATTTTCAGCTAAAAATAAAGCTTTCTTTCAGTGATTATGAGGATACTCTTGATCTACTTACTTATAAGGTGTTTCTTGACTTGTCCTAGCAGCAGTGATAAATGTGTACATTAAACTCCTTCTGAGTTCCCTTAACCTGGTGGTATACTGACTAGGTGACTAGCTGAATTCACAGTAATTGGAAGCTGGGATTGAAGTGAAACTAAACTTCTGTGACGTAAAAGTTGTCCTGGGCTTCTTTTGTTGGTAGATTTTTTAAATTACTGATTCAGTCTGAGAACTTATTAGTCTGCTTAGGGTTTTAATTTCTCTTCATTCAATCTTGGGAAGTTGTGTATTTTCAGGAATTCATCAGTCTCTTCTAGATTTTTCTAGTTTGTGTGCATAGAGGTGTTTAGAATAGTCTCTGAGGATCTTTTGTATTTCTGTAAGATCAATTGTAATGTCACCTTTGTCATAACTGATTGTATTTACGCATCTTCTTTTTCCTTTGTTAATCTAGTTAGTACTCTATTGATCTTGTTTGTCTTTTCAAGGAGTTGCCTTTTGGTTTTGTTGATCCTTTGTATAGATTTTTGGATCTCGATTTCATTCAGTTCTGCTCTGATTTTAGCAATTTATTTTCTTCTGCTAGCTTTGGGTTTAGTTTGTTCTTGTTTTTATAGTTCTTCTAAGTGTGATGTTAGATTGTTCATTTGAGAGCTTTCTAACTTCTTGAAGTAGGTGTTCAGCACTATAAACTTTCCTCTTAACACTGCTTTTGCTGCATCTCAGGGATTTTTATATGTCGTGTCTCTGTTTTAATTAATTTTAAACATTTTTTTATTTCTTCCTTAATTTTATTGTCTACCCAAAAGTTATTGAAGATCAAGTAGTTTAATTTCCATGTTATTGTATAGTTTTCAGAGACATTCTTGATATTGATTTCTATTTTTATTCCACTGTGGTCTGAGAGTATGGTTGGCATATTTTGACATTTTGAACTTACTGATACTTGCTTTATGGTCAAGTATATGGGTGACCTCAGAGTATGTTCCATGTCATGAGAAAAATAGCTATTCTGTGGTTGTTGGGTGGAGATGTGGGTATAGATGTCTGTTAGATCCAACTGAGCAAATATTACATTTAAGACCAGAATTTTTTGGTTAGTTTCTGCCTTGATGATCTAATGATGTCAGTGGGATGTTGAAGTCTCCAGCTATTCTTAAGTCACTAAGTCTCTCCGTAAGTTTACAAATATGTGTTGTTGTTTTTTTTTATTCTGAGTGCTCCAATGTCAGGCATGTATATATGTAGGATAGTTAAGTATTTTTGTTTATTTGAACCCTTTATCATTATGTAATGCTCTTCTTTGTCCTTTTCTATTGTTGGTTTAAATTTTGGTTTATCTCATGTGAGAATAGTAACCCCTGCTCGTCTTCCATTTGTGTGATAGATCTTTTTCCACCCCTTTACTTTCAGCCCATCTGTGTTGTTACATGTGAGACAGGTCTCTGAAAGGCAGCAGATGGTTAGTTCTTGTTCTTTTACACAACTTGCCACTCTGTGCCTTTTAAGTGGGGCATTTAGGTTGCTTAATTCCAGATTAATATTGATATGTGAAGTATTGATCCTGTTGTGATGTTGTTAGCTGTTTGCTTTGTAGTCTTGATTGTGTAGTTGCTTTATAGGGCTGTGTAGTTAAGTGTGTCTTTGTAGCAGCAGATATTGTTCTTAAATTTGTATGTTTACAACTCCCTTCAGGATCTCTGGTAAGGTTGGCCTAGTGGCAATGAATTCTCTTAGTGTTTGCTTGCTTAGGAAAGATTGTATTTCTCTTTGCTTTCAAAGCACAGTTTGGAGAGTATGAAATTCTTAGTTGGAATTTCTTTTCTCTAAGGATACTGAAAATAGACCCCAATCGCTTCTGGCTTATATGCTTTCTGCTGAGATGTCTGCTGTTAATCCGATGGGGTTCTTTTGTAAGTGAGCCGGCCCTTTTCTCCAGTTGCTTGTAAGATTTTATTTCACATTGACCTTGGAAAGTCTAATGACTATGTGTCTTGGAGATGGTCATCTTGTGTAGTATCTTGCAATTCTCTGAATTTCTCGAATTTGCATGTCGACCTCTTCAGTGAAATTGGGTAAATTTTTCAGGACTGTATCCTCAAATATGTTTTCTAAGTTGCTTACTCTCTCTTCCTGTCTAGGAAGATCCCTTGGGCAGAAGCTGCAGCTGACCAATAGGCTAAACCCCTATTTGACCAGTCTCATGGATAAAGGGACACCCAACTACCATGCCAAAACACAAACCTACTCTTCACTCTTCTCAGTGTTCTGAGATTGGGGGCTCTTCCCTGGCTTGAACTCAGGTGGCAGATCTCATCTTGATACCTCTGGGTGGTGTGCTTGAATGCTGGATATTGGGATTGAGTGTATGGTTTTATCCTCTGACCCCTCAGGACTGAGCACCAGGTGTGCTGGGGAGGCCAAACTGCTCCCAGGCCACTGCAAAACACTCAGGTGGGGAAATGGAGGCTCTTTTGTGTGCACCCTATTTCAGGAGTGGCCAGGCATGGGCCTTGAATGGGGCTGATGGACAAGGGTAGCTTAGACACACAGTAGTCCTGTGGGAAAGGCAGCCCTTCCTTCTGCCAGCCTGGCACTCAGCAGGGGCTAGAGTCACTCAGAGCAAGATGGCAAACTGTGGTGATGGATGCATATGGTTGTGTTTTGCTATACCTGTCCCACATGAGAAATTTTCTAGGCTCCACACAGGTTTGAGCTGTACCTTTGCCTATTCTCTGGGCATTAAGTAACCACATATTAGTTCATTCTCACATTGCTAAAAGAACTACCCAAGAATGGTTAATTTATAAAGAAAAGAGGTTTAATTGGCTCACTGTTCCAGAGGCTGTACAGGAAGCTTGGCTGGGGTGGCCTCAGAAAACTTAAAATCATGGTGGAAAGGTAAAGGGGAAGCAAGCATGTCTTCAAATGTCCAGCAGAAGGTGGGGAGGTGCTACATACTTTTAAACAAGCAGATCTTGTGAGAACTCTATCATGAGACAGCACTAGGGGGAGAAGAAACCACCCCATGATCCAATCACCTCCAACCAGGTGCCACTCAGGATCGTAATTCAAAATGAGATTTGGGTGGGGACACAGAACCAAACCATATTAAGCCATCGATATATGTTTGCCTCTTTTCTTTTGCTATTACTAACATACACTCCATATCCCTGACTAGGATTAAGGAGCAGATCTGTGGTTATGAAATCGCTTTGGACTGTGTGATACTAATAGCTCATAAGAATCAAATCAACAACCATCACTTTTAAATAATATCAAATGTATAATTTATATAATAATCACAGTCACAATCAGCATGTTTTCCAGAAAGAAATGACATTGTTCATTTATTAACACTCATGTAATGACATTGTTCACATATTAACACTCATGTATTAACAATTTGAAAGTTTTTCTAGCTAGAATTCTAGCAAGAAATGGGGTGAGTTTATATGCAGATTTTGGAACTGTTTTTCTCTGGCTCTCTCATTTTTCCATATACTGAAGCAGTTCTGATATTTTATTTTTACTTAGTGTAGACCACAATTTGGTCCATGTTTCGGCCCACTAAACAAACGAATAGGGATATGGTTTGGGTCTGTGTCCTCACTAAATCTCATGTCTAATTGTAATTCCCAGTGTGAGAGGTGGGGTCTGGTGGGAGGTGATTGGATCATGGAGGTGGTGTTCTTATGAATGTGTTGGCACTATTGCCTCAGTGCTGTTTGCATGACAGTGAGTGAGTGAGTTATGAGATCTGGTTGTTTAGAAGTGTGTAGCATCCTCCACCCACACCCTCTTCCTCCAGCCCTGGCTGTGTGAACATGCCAGTTCTGGCTTTGCCTTTTGCCGTGAATAAAAGCCCCCTGAGGCCTTCCTAGCAGCAGATGCCACCATGCATCCTGTACAGCCTATGGAACCATGAGCCAATTAAACCCTTTTTCTTTATAAATTGCCCAGTCTTGGGTGTTTCTTGATATCAGTGGCAGAACTGACTAACACACACAGAGCCATTTCTAATGCCTGGAGTTACAGCATTGAATCTAGAATCTCTGCTTAGTGGGTTCATGTTAATAATTTGGCCTCATTCAGCTTTGTCTTTTTCATTATTTCACATTCTTAATCTTCATTTCTATATGTATTGTCCAAATTTATAACTGTATACATTGGAGAAATCATATAGATCTTCTGGTGTGTAGTATACCTCCTTGTGGGTCACACCATACCTCACTCTTTGGGCCCTGCTGGGACTGGAGTCTAATTATAAGTCTGGAAGCAAAGAGGAGTGAGTGGGGAGATCCTAAGAACAGAAAGTGTCTTTCTGTTCTGTTTCTGCAACTAATTGAAGAAAAGTCATTATAGTTTCTTCAGGCCAAGCAGGCGGTTAACATCTCCAAATGGGGGTGGGAAGGCTGCTTCTATGGGCAAAGACTTAGGAGATTTTAGAGATTTTACATGCTCAGTTTCCTTGGCTTTTGCTCCTATGTTCACATTCCAATTTCAGGATCCCATTCCTTTCCAGTCAATAACCTCACTATAGCAGAGATACCCTGACAGGTTAGGAATTCAGTTTGTGTTGTCATTCAGCCATTTACAGGATGAGTTTTGGTTTCTGGAAACTTCAGCCTTGCTGAGAAGATGGGGGTTCTTTCATGGCAGACATAGAAATTTTCAGTTCACTCATATAGTTTAAGTTGAGAATTTGAAACCCTGAACTCATCTTTTTCTTTCTCCATTTGCCCAGCAAATTAGGAGAAACCAGCCAATCTCATTATGGTAAAATGTATCAAATACAACTCAGACCTTGTCTTTTGTAAGTATTTGACTAGGCCCATCCAATGGTGACATTTTGCATATCTCCATTGTTACTTCATGGCCATAGACTTTCAGTGTGCCCTCTAGCACTAGAAATACAGTCATTAGTGCTTTTAAATTTAACTAGATTAGATGACCAATTCCAGAAAACTCAGGACTAATTCTGAAAATTCATCCTTATGATTCTGTTTCTTGAGGACCACTTATGGTACCAAATCTGTATCAGTCAGGGTTCCACCAGAGAAACACAATGAGTAGAAAGTATGTGTATGTATGAGTGTATATACGTGTGTGTGTGTGTGTGTGTGTGTGTGTTATTTCAAGCAATTGATTGCTGCAATTGTGGAAGCTGGTAAGTTTGAAATTTATAGGGTGGACTGGTTGTCTGGAAACTCTTGGGCAGAAACTAACGCAACTAATGCTGCAGTCTTGAGGAAGAATTTTTTTTCTTACTCCGGAAAACCTTACTTTTTCTCTTAAGGCCTTTCAATGGATTGAGTGAGGCCCACCTACTTTATTGAGAATAATCTCCTTTACTTAAAATCAATTTATTGTAGTTATTAACCACACCTACAAAATACCTTTACAGTAATGCCGAAATTAGTGTTTGCTTGACTGAATGATTGAATACTATACACTAGCCAACTTGACACATAAAACTAGCTCTCACAGGAGGATACACATTTTTTCAGGTGAACACAGAATGTTTATCAAGGCAGACCACTAAATGAGCCATAAAACAAATCACAATACATTTAAATTTATCTCAGTAATTATTTTTAAAAGGCTTTATGTTATTGAGACCAGCAAATTATCTTGTGGTTTCCTGTTTCCTTGTTATTTTTACCTTGAGAAGTTTCCCTTAGCATTTTTTTTGCAAGTTCAGCCATGCATTTGAAACAAGAATGTTCTAGTTTATCCAATACTTCTAAGTTTTTTCTTTGAAGTAGAGGAGGTTATCATTTCTATAATAGTTCTGGAAATGGAACTTTACTCCGGGGGCCTGCATTGAACTCTTCCACTGATTAGAAGTGGGTGTGCCTGGCAAAAGACTGGTGGAGGCTGATCTGTTATAGTAACATTGGATGAATCATTTATTCATAACTGTGCAAAAGAAATGTCAAAATCCTGTCATATATCCATTTATCTGGTTATGGTCTGACTGCTGATTTATGTAGAGGTTTCTGTGATTTTTAGTGTGATTGTTAACTAATTTAAGAACTGAAATGTTTTCTGTGATCATCTTATACAAAATCAGGGGATTCTAGTCCATTTCAGTAAATAAAATTTTTAAATTTTCTCCCTATTTCTTCTGTAAATGTTTTCTAGCTTCAGATAATAATTCCTGTCTGATGACACAACTGGAAATGCAGAGCCAGAGAATATTTCTTAATGAAGGTAAAATGCTCGCTTAATAACCAGTTTGATGGGAGGGTTGGATCATCATTAGAAACATTTACATGATCATTTGTCCTGTGTGCAATTGTAATAGATAAGTCTCTGCACACCATTGCTTGAGGACCAACTACTTATTCAATTTAATTCAACAACAACAAAAACCAAACATGTAGATTTCTTAGTAGCACACAAAAATGTGCTTGGTAAAATAGAAGTTAAAAGAAGAAAACTTACAGTACCTTCAACTAGTCTATATATTCTGGTCTTGGAATTAGACAAGGACACAGAATTATATTACAAGGTAGAATGAGATGAGCACTATAATACAAAATTAGTGTATTACAGAGAGTGGCTTTTGCACAGGCTCTAGAAGGATTTCAGAAAGCATAAATTATTGGAAAAAAGAGTCCAGGAGATCATTGTGGACTAAGGTACAGGGTAGAAAGGAACATAAAATGTTCAGTCAATAGAAGTAGTCTGGGGTGGGAGGAGTTTAGTGTGCCTGCTGGATTGCAGTGAGACTGGAGCCTGAAAAGTCAAGTTGCAGTCAAATAGTGGAAGGAAGTAGAAAGGGTAGTAATAAAGTCAAAAGAAGAACTGCATGAATAGATACAGAACCACAGAAGAAATTGAGAATTACTGCCAAAAATGTGTGGCCTTAGATTGCTATGTAAGAGAAATAGTTTATATTATTTTAAGCCTTTAAAGAACAGATAATATTTATGCCATTTAGTTTTTCCATAGAGAAAGAAGAAATGTTTTCTAAATTTTGCAAATATAACTCAGATATCAAATCTTGACAAAGTTAGTGTACAAAAAATTTCTAAGCTAGTTTCACTTGTAAATGCAGAGGTAAAGATTCCACATATCAGTATAGAAGAATGATGGTGAGTGAGACCCCTACTTCTACTCCTTGTCTCTCAGATCCAGTTTAAACTATGAACTGAGGACACAGCATCATCCTAAAGGATGGTGTCCCATCTTCATAAGATATTATTTCCAAATTTCAGCTGTGCCTTCAAGAGGCTATGCCAGTGCTCCATCAAGCAGACCATTTCTGAATGCATCCACATGCCTCTACCTGACACCTTCTTAGCCTCTACTTCCCAATCTTGACTCTTCCAGGTCTCTAACCAAACAAGCCAAACCATTTGCCACTGCTCATTAGTTTATCTACTTTATTACGGTATCATTTCTTACTTCGGTATTTTTCATCATCACTGTCTTTCAGGGCCAGACCAGAGTGGGGCTACAGTGCTGCAGCAGCCCACTTTTGGCTTATATCACAGACTGAGGCAACTCATCCAACAGCTAAGCTTTGGGTTTTGGTCCTAGAGAACTCACAGGGAGGGCTTAGATGTGAGTTAAGAGAGAGATGACAGGATAACAGTGGTATATGAAGTGGGGGCCTGAACTATTTGTTCTCTCAAATGACTGGTGTTCTTTTGAGGCTGGAGCCTGATCCCCAGTGTACCACTTCTGTTTTACAATGGATTGCTGCTGGGCCCACTTTACTTTATGGTTTGGTGAGTCTAATAGTATCTAGCTTATAATGGGTTGTTGTAGGAGCCTGATTATTTCATATCCTATAATTAGATGCTCAGTCTTCACCAGGGTCCCCTAGCATTCCATGAGCTGTTTTTTAAAAGGTAACTAGTTATCTGCTTCAGATGACATGGATTTACCCCAGAAACCCTGGCCTGCACTGTGACTGTCCTACTGGACTTCTCTGAGGCTTCACATTGCACCTTTATCACAGAATCTCCTGGTATCACAGATCTGCCTGATTTTATGAACTTGTCAGGGACCTGTTACAGATTTCTTTCTTGGTCTGGAACACACCTGGACTCTCATTCTATTAGAGGGTTAGAGCAGTAATCTCAAATATACAGCAGGCTACCTCCAAAACCAAGTGCTGTTCTACTCAGTGGTAGGAAGTAAGGTTCAATAATTTGTCCTTTTCTTGGGAGGAGCTATATGGTAGGATTCAGACCACTGGACTACTAAAAACATTACTGATTTTTCAGGCCCTAAATCTTCGTAGAATTTATTTCTCACCTCTGGAATGCATGTGATTGACTAAGGCATTCATAATACCTCTCACTTTTTGCTCAGAAGATCTAATTGATATGTCATCAATATAGTAGACCAATGTGATGGTTTCTGTTGAATGCCTAGACAGCCTAGATCTTTTTAGATTACACGGTACATGCAAGTAGAAATTAAGGCAAGACCATATTTGTATATTGCTTACTCTCCTGTGGGATACAAACAAACTTCTGATATTCCTTCCTGATGAATATTGAAAATAAGGCATTTACCAAATCGATAACCGTATTCTACAACTGGAGTATTGCTAGTAAAGGTAGCTTATCTGGCAAAGTAGCTGCAGTTGGGGCTAACATATTGGTAATTTTGCATTGGCCTACTGCAATTCACCATCCAGTGTTTTGCAGGGATCAAACAGGTAAATTAAGTAGGAGATATGATGGGGATCACTATTTTAGCATACTTTAAGTCTCTGAGAGGAGACTCTTCCTCAGGTCTTCAATATTAATATTTATTTACTGTCTTGGCCAAGGTGGGTGGTTTGGGGGATTTCTCTTGGACTGTCCTATTATAATAGCTCTTACTTTACAGATCAAGGAACAAAAAGAGGATCTGCAAGCTGCTAAGTATGCTTGTTCTAATTATTCAGCAATTGAAAAATCACCACTGGATAAGTCTGTGGAATTTGAAAGTCTACTGTGACATGAACCAGACTCAGGATTTCTTTTATTACCTGATTCCAATATGTTCCTACTCTAACAGGAGGCCCTTAGTGTTCTTTGTGTTCTTGGGTATCAAGATCAGTTCAGATTAGTATTCAAACAACCCTCAAAAGATCTTTGTATTCCTTTTTCCCCAGTTATGGCTACCCAAACACATGATCATAGGTCCTTTGGTGAAGGACTAGGGGAATCGCTTTCAGACGGCTGAGGACAACCAAGACCCTTTCAGTGGGTCCCCTCGGTACAAATGAGTTACAATAATAATAATGATAATACAGTGATGGTATTTGCCTTTCTATTGATATTTTCCCTGATAGTACAGTTGAACTGTTGTTTAAAATTACTGGTGCCTTAGCATGAATAAAGTGCAGAGCACTCACTGTATTAGTTAGCTAGGGCTGTTGTAACAAAGAACCATTAACTGAGAGGTGGAGGCAACAGAACCTTATTGTGTTACAGTTCTAGAAATGAAAACCCTGAGATCAACGTGTTGGCAGGGCCATTCTCCCTCTGAAGGCACTACGAAAGGATCTGTTTCAAGCCTTTCTCCTAGCTTCTGGTATTTCCTGGCTTAGGCAGCATACCTCCAATTCTTACATGAAGCTTTTCCTGTGTCCATATCTGTGTCCAATTTGCTTTTTTTTTTTTTTTTTTTTATGAAAACACCAATTGTATTGCATTAGGGGCTCATTCAACTCCAGTATGACTTTACCTTAGCTAGTTATATATGTAATGATTTTATTTTCAAATAAGGTCACATCTCTGATGGTTAGGACTTCAACATATAAATTTTGAGATATAAAATTCAACCCATAACAGGCACCAACTTGTACCAATAGTTGTATTCTTCACTCACTCATGCACACACATACAATTCCCTAAAATTGTCCTTGGTGATTCAGTAAAAATTATTAATGTATTACATCTCAAGCCTTATATATGGTATCTTTTCAATATTCTACATGATGAAATTGGAAATACATTTAATGCATTTTTCTTGCATACCCAAAGCATGATGGTTATTTTGAGGAAATGCATTTGTATCAAATGTTTGAGTTGCAAGCTGAACTATTTCCAACCAACCTTTTATATCCAGGGTGGGTAAAATACCCACTTAAGAGAAAGAAAGGTTTTATGGGATTTTAATTGAGACCCAGTAGAAGAAATTGACCTGTAGAAATTTTTATCATTTTTTTCTCCTTATTGTGTCCAGTTAGCAGTTCACTGTCTGTACTAATGGATACAAAAGTTGCGCTCTGTTGCCATCCCATCCTACTGATAAGTGTGATGGTAACAGCATGGGAAACACTCATCAGAGACAAATCTTCCTGCATCAAAGCCTACAGGAGAGATAGAAATGAGACAATGGAAAAAAACTACAATGACAAGAGTATGTAACGTGGGCCTCCAGTCCTGACTAGAATCTTGCCCTTCAGATTGATCCAGTTGTCCTCAGGTGAATAACAGTAACACCTGATGGAAACTGCCATCGCAGATATTACCCATGATAATGTCCATTGAAAGGGTCTTGGTTATCCCTAGCCATCTGAAAAACCACGCTTTGAGAATTACTACAGCAGTCATTCCCCTAGGCCGTCGGGGGACCTGAAGGACCTAGTCTGAACCTTACCAAGTGTTAAGTAAGGAACAAATGTCTCTCTAAATTTCATATTCTTTATGTTAAGATTGAAGCACTTTTTCTTTACCTTTCTGCAATTCTCCTTGAAGTGACAGTGTTTCAAAGCATAAATAGAACTGTGGTGTGCAAGGCAGTTGCAGCGAAGCCAGCTGCATAGATCTCCTGGACTCCACAGGGAGATTGTGTCACTGAGAAAGAATACTGGGGCAATGGCACAGTGACTGCTGGGAGTACATGCCACTGAGAGGGCCGCAATGTGCCTACCATGACCTTGTGATAGCCACGTGACTAGCAACAAGAGTGTCTATAGAGCTACTTCCTGGTTAGTAATCATTCCAGTTTTATGTTCAATTTTTTCTCTCTTTTAGAGGAGTTAGGTTAAGAAGGAAAAAAAATGTGCAGAGTAATTTCATTTAAAGATGCTCTCTCCAGCATTTGGAGAAAGGAGTATAATTGGACTAGCTCATGTGAGATGCCCATGTGGACCAATCTTGGCTAGGAAAGGAGGAATGGGGGAGGCATGGTTACCTCACACAAACTGGTTGATTAAACAAAGTGTCTCATGAATGAGAAATCATTATTAATTGCTTATAAGCATACTTTTAAAGATGTTAACATGTTTTTTCCTCTAATAATGGCATAACTTCTAATTTCTTTTTTACAATAATTTTTATATAATTTTAGTTATTAACTAATTGTCTTCATGTTGAGTAAGACTTTGTGGGGAAATACTTGCTTCCATTCTGAATATATAAAATTGATTTCATTTATTCTTCTGTAACTATGTTCCAGTTTCAAGTAGTTCATGTATGGATGAAAAGCAGATGACGCAGAACAATTCAACAGTTTTCCAAGAAGGTAATATGCTTCCTTAGTAGTGGCCAAGACTGAGGCATGGAAAGCTGAACTTCAGTAGAATTGTTAGCCGATGGCCTGGCTGGAGGCCGGCCTTATGACTACTTGAAGAACATGTTGATCTGAGTGCTGTGGTATGAGGGACCCTGAATGTCCCAGTCTCTAGTTTTCCAAACAAGCCATCTTCTTGCTTGCCTCTGAACCTTTGCTAAGGTGGCATGGTGGAAGGAGCGCGGATTTAAGGACCTTTGAGGTCTGCATTAAAGTCCTACCTCTTTCTGCATCTAGTTATGTGATCATTATTTGACTGTGAAATACAAGGGTTAAAGTACTGTAAAAGAGACGGGTAACACCAAAACAGGAGAGGAGAGATATTAAGTGTAGGGTTTAGCAAAAATAAACGTCATCCACATAAGGGTTTGCCCCTCTGCAACTGATTCTGCTTATGCTATAGTGATGACATCTCTGACACTCACCTTTTTAACTTACAGGTGAGTAGTGACAGAATAATTACCTCTCAGTAAACCCTGATCCATTGTGGAAACATTGTGGCAGCTTATGAAATGCATGAGAATCTATGTCGGAAGATGCTTGTAGGATGTGTAGGATGTATGGCTTACTTTTTACTTTTTTAAAAGACGGACAGAAAAGGGTCGACTTACACATTTACTTCTGACGTTTCATTGAATACACAGAAATAAAATCTATCAGCAAAGTTTACCACTGAACTGTCTGGGATTGTACGTGTGACTAAATAGGAAGGAAGGAAAATATCCAAAGGCTATGTTTGACAACGTCACGAATTTACAATAAAACTTTTTCCTGATAAATGTCCAAAGGAAAATAAAGCATTTTAAAAAATATATGCCACACTACTTTTTAAATTAGAAATACGTATTTCTGAACATTTCTAGGTAAGAAAATTTCAGCTCCTAGGCATTTTTTTTTTAAATTTACATGCGATGGCTCAGCTGGTAAAATTATAGTTTTTTTTAAAGATCTATGGCTCTCACTAAACAAAAAATAAACTTAAGAAATGTCCAGCTAGCTAAACCTGAATGCCATATTAGTTACCTTTAATGAAAGAGCTATAAACTTTCCACATTTTTGCTTGTCTGAAATAACAACCTTAGAGACAGGCATTTAACTTTGATGTTACTGATGTTCCTGTGCTCACCAAAACAAAGGAGGAGACAATCACATTACCAGTTTTTCCACTTTCCCTTACAAGGCACATGAATTGTATGATAAATAAAGTAGTCTCTACCACCTAAAGATTAGATGTAGAACACTGCCTTTGTTGTTTAATTTACAATTCTGTTTTCTTCTCTGTTTCTAGATATTAAAACTCCTGAATTGATTTCAGAATACTTTATTCTATTTCAGAATACAATATTATGTATACTGTTTTTCTAATAATACATAAAACTAGAGAAAATGTGTTAATTTCTAGATTGGATTCAATATATTATTTATATTTTGTGAATGTTATTTTCTTGTGTAAGCCTAATATTTCTGGAATAAGATCAGCAAATTTATGTTCTAATACAACTTCATGTAATATACTACTATGAATAAACATAGCGCCTGAAGTCTTCATCAAGATTTTCTTTATCATTCTCCTTTCACGTATGCATCCAGTTAACACTTCATGGCCTGTACTGATGGGTAAAAACACTGTGCTTCGTTGCCCTCCTATCGCATTAAAATGTTTGATCATAATAACATGGGAAATAATCCTGAGAGACCAGCCTTCCTGTAAAAAAGCCTACAGGAAAGAAACAAATGAGACCAAGGAAACCAACTGTACTGATGAGAGAATAACCTGGGTCTCTAGACCTGATCAGAATCCTGCCCTTCAGATTCATCCAGTGGCCATCACTCATGACGGGTATTACAGATGCAAAATGGGAGCACCTGACGGGAATTTCCATCGTGGATATGACCTCCAAGTGTTAGGTAAGGAGCATCATATATTGTGATAGTTCACATCATCAGATCTGTGACTGAAACAAGTGTCTCTCTGAATTCTTTTTTCCCTTTTGTTTCTGCAGTTACTCCTGAAGTGACCCTGTTTCAAAGCAGGAATGGAACTGTGGTATGCAAGGCAGGTGCAGGGAAGCCAGCTGCACAGATCTCCTGGATCCCAGAGGGGGATTGTGTCACTGAGCAAAAATACTGGGACGATGGCACAGTGACTGTTAAGAGTACATGCCACTGGGAGGGCCACGATGTGTCTACGGCGACCTGCCGTGTCTCCCATTTGACTGGCAACAGAAGTCTGTCCATAAAGTTGAATTTAGGTAAGTGTCTGTTTCTTGTAGAAGAGTAAATTTAATGCTCAACTTTTTCTTCCACAGAAAATAATGAATAATCAAACACCAGGTAGGAAAATTTGAGCTCCTAGTTTGAAAATATTCTCTAAAACTGAGAAATGCATTGCAATGCTGGAATCTATCTTTTAGTGGAACAGCCATAAAAATATATTTTGCTAAATTTGTGATATATAGGCTCTTACTTTAAGATTAATTCTTGATATGAAATATCAAGAGTTTTATATAGTTTTAACAATCTTTGTTCAGTAGATAGCCCAGAATGACAGTTATTTCCTTTCTGATTTTTATTTCTTGTAGTCGTTATCACTATGTTACTCTGAATAAGACACAAGTATTTCTTCCCCATCTCATCATCTAAAAGCAATCTATTAATTAATTCACCAGATAGTTATTGAATTCTATTTATAAGTTTGAAGCTGGTGATGCAAGGATGAAAAGATAAGGTCTACATCTTTATATTGTTTTGGACAGGAGACTCTTGTGATTAGGAGCAAAGCTTTCATGGCTTTTTGTTCACCAGCTATATGAACTTGAACTTAAAACTCTGTCTCATGATTCTTTACCTGTTAAATGAAGATAATGAGACCCACCTAATAGGATTACTGGTTTAATTAAATAAAAGTAGATATATAAAAAACATGTTATATATTTAATTGTATTAATATACACCTACTACATAATTGATACTTAGCAAATGTTAGCCACTAGACTGCCTTATATTAATAAATATTGGCATTATATTTATCTTATTAATAAAAATTACCTATTTTAATAATTATACTAATATTAAACATAATCATATTAATTTTTCCTGTTTATTTTCTTTTTTACATCAGCTTTATTGACATCTAATTTATATAACATACAATTCAACCATTTAAAGCATGCACTTCAATGTTTGTGTGACCACCACCCACTGCTACAATCAATTTTAGAACATATTTCTCACCCCAAAAGGCAACCATATATTCTTTAACTGTGTTTTCCATGATCAATCTCCCATCGAGTCTAAATTCTTACTTCATACATTTTATCTATGGATCAGTGCATTTATCTTTGGTATTATCTGATCTTCGCTTCTATAGTACCAACATTCAACGTATATTCTAAACCTTTGTCCCCCTTTACCTCCTTAGGAGCTTTGCTTCATTCACCTCTCTTTTGCTTAATTTTTTTGTTCCTTAAATCATTTTTTCCTAAAGTTGCTCATAAAACATACCTATTTTTCTTTCATATCTAAAAACTTGGTGTTATGACTTCGTCAAACATTTAACTCTTGGCTTCTACTCATATTGAAGACTTTTTTTTAAAGAGGAGTCTACACTTACTGTCTCTTCTGTATCACCTCACATTTATCCCTTAACTCATTTGTGTCTCCCTGCGGAGAAAATGCCCTGACAAAAAGCATCTCTCAGATGCCAAATAAAATATAAATATTGCATTTTTTGTTCACTTAATTAGCTTCTTTGTAATATTTATAATTACTAACTAATTTAAAATATCATAATATAATTTTATACAATATAGTTTTAAATTTTTTATTTATTTGCTTTTTAATAGTAGTAGTTGTTACGGTTTCTTCTCCCTTCTGATGTGTTTTTCTCCTATTCTCACTTGGTTCTTTTCTTAACTTTGTCAACCTATTTTTTTCTTAAATAGATTCATTTCATCAGTTCACCCCACGAATGGACACATTTCTATGTATTCCATCTTTATCCATCTCTTTATTGTACCTTTGTTCTTTAAGTCATCTCATCCATGTCCGTGGTTTCAACCACTGTCTAATTCCTGACTCTCAAATCTATAGTTTTGCTCAGATTTCTCTCCTTGGCTACACAGTGACCAAAACCACATTCCAACTGGACAGCATCACCTGGAGGCATCAAGGGCACCTCTACTTACATATTTCTGAAACAATTCTCCACTACCCCTTTGTGAGCCCTACATCTGTATATCTTGATAAATGACTCAAGCTAGAAATGTTAGAATATTCTACAATATTTCTCTTTCTTATCCCCATATTCAATGCCAGTTATGATGTTTTGTTGATTTGACCTTAATTTTTTTCCTACATCTGGCTCTTTTTCTTTCTCCCTACTGTCTTAGTTGGTGAAATAGTATCTCATATCAGGATTATTATAATGTCCTTGTAACAAATCTTCTTGGCCCCAGGTTACTTTCCTCCAATTTATCCCATCTACTGTTTCTGGAGGGACCTTCCTAAAATGCCACTCTCCTACTTACATAATCTCTTTGCTTTACATCAAGTGAAATGCTTTAACAATCTCAACCGGCTGCTCTCATTAGCCTTGTGTCTCACTGATCTCTATCCTGTACCCCATGCATGTATTCCTCTGTTCCCTTTTACATGCAATTTCTACCTCTCCATAAGGTACTTCTTTCCCTGTACCCTCCTCTTCCATTACATTTGATTGATCCCTGTTGAAGTTTTAAGACTTAGTTTGACATTGATCCTCTGGGATGATTTTCTCCTGCCTTGAAGTTCAGTTAGCTATTCCTCCTCTGTGCTCACAGAATGCTTATGCATTCCTCTGTCAAAGTACCTCCACAGCCCTGTAATTGGACTGCTCGGCACTGCTTTCATTCACAATGCTTCTGACACCAAATGCATGTGTTTTTTCCCTACATCAACTAATTCTCCAACTCTCCAGATACCAACTAGGTGTCCTACAATTCAATTCAGACACTGACTACCTGGAGTTAGCACAGACTGCACAGGTTAAGGGCTCAGTCTCATAAGATTTTCCTCACTTCAGATACCTGTTACGAGTCCCAGGTTGCCACCTGAACTTCTAATCAACTGGCTATAAATTCAGGGAGTTCCCATCATTCCCTTGTCAGGTTTAATAATTTGCTAAAATGGCTCACAGAACTCATGTTAACCTGATATAATCAAAAGGATCACAATCCAGTTTAAAAGAGTTTATTTAAGCGAGAGTCTGAGAAAAGCCATTCAGGTAACACAGACTCCAAAGGGATAAGGTAGGTAAGGAAAAAGGCTAATGTACAATGAGCAAAACAAAAGTTATGGCTCCCTAGGTCATAGCTGCTTGTTTACATAACTCAGGTCTCATAATCGTATTCCGTTAAGGCTCAAAATATTTTAAAGTACCAACAGCTTAGATTTTTAAATCACTTATTTTCACACTTAGGAATGCGACTTTATTTACTATGACTGATTTACTATAAAGTATCCAACTCAGGAAGAGACAAAAGGAAGAGATGCATAGGGCAAGGTATGGAGAAAAGAGCTTCCATGATATCTCGGGGAGTGCCAACCTCCCAGTCCCTCAGTGTGTTCACCAGCTGGGAAAATCTCCCAACCCAGATAGCTCTCCAGACTCTGTTGTATAGGGTTGTTGTATAGGCTCTGTTATACAGGTATGACTGATTAAATTATTGGGCATTGGTTATGAGCTCAATCTCTAGCCCTTCCCCCCTCCCAGGAGGTCAGTGGAAGGGAGGGTGGTTGTGGGGGGTGAGTTTCAACCCTCTAACCATACCTTGGTCTTTCTAATTACCAGCCCCATTCTGAAGGCCCAGCCACCACTTATCCCATTAGCATACAAGAGATGGATCACTGTGGGATTTCCAAGGAGTTTAGGAAAAATCCTTGGAACTGTGCCAGGAACTGGCGGCCAAAGACCAAATATATGTTTCTTATTATATTACAACCACTTACTTCTGTGACTCTCCTTGAGAGTTAGAACCACTTCTTTGATTTTTGTATTCCTTAAGTCTGGCATAGTACCTGACATAATACAAATAACTGCAGAATTAGGTTCAAGTCACTGCAGATTCATCTCTATATATTCCATTCTATCCTCTAAATATGACTTAGGTGAACTCATCTTTTACAGTTTTCTCAGATTGTTTCTTTAGCTTGAAAAGTCCTTCTTCTTTTAACCTTTTCAATCCTGTAGACTAGCAAGGCTCAGTTCAAGTCCTACCTCTCCCTAGCCTCCCTGTTAGAGTTGATTAAATGCTTTTATTCCTTAGACGATTTATCATCTGTAATGTTCATCCAGCACTGTTTTCTCTCTTGTACATTTAAACTAAAACATTTTGAGACAGGCCTCAATTAATTTGGAAGTTTATTTTGCCAAGGTTTGGAACAATTTGCACAGATTAAAAAAAAAAAAAAACCACCACCAGAATCAGAGAAACAGTTGGTGATCTGTGCCTTTCTCCAAAGATGACTTTGAGGGCTTCAATGTCTAAAGGGTAAAAGTGCATTGGAGGGGAAAGAGGAAGGGTATGGTAATTCAGATGTAAGAGAAAAGGAGCAGGTAGGGGGATAGTCAATTATGATAAGGCGAACACAGAGTAACTACTTGTGAAGAAATCTACGTTTTATCTGTAGCTATCTGCTGAGGAATAAAAGGAAAGGCAGTTGCTTGCCTGACTCAGCTTTCAGCTTAATTTTTCCCATTTGGCATAGTGAATTGGGGTCTTGAGCTTTTATTTTTCTTTCATATAAGTTGTCTTTTCATTTGTATGGATCTGACTTCTCCAGTTGGTTTGTGAGATATTTTGAGGACTGTAACCATATTGTTTTCTTATTTCCTCATAATGCCTAGGGTTATCTGACATCTTTCTAGTTTAGTCTTTGAGCAGGTTATTTAAGATTATTTAACAGGATAAAATGACCTCTTGGAGCCAGTAATCAGACTCTTTAGGTGGCCAATTTCTTTCTTCTTCTTTTTTTTTTTTTTTTTTTTTTTTGAGACGGAGTGTCACACTGTCGCCCGGCCTGGAGTACAGTCTCAGGATCTCGGCTCACTGCAACCTCTGCCGCCTCCTGGGTTCAAGCGATTCTTCTGCTTCAGCCTCCTGAGTAGCTGAGATTATAGGCGCGTGCCACCACACCCAACTAATTTTTGTATTTCAGTAGAGACGGGGTTCACCATATTGGTTTGGCTGGTCTTGAACTCCTGACCTTAGGTGATCCACCCACCTTGGCCTCCCAAAGCACTGGGATTACAGGCATGAGCCACCATGCCCAGCCTAGCTGGCCAATTTCATAGGATAAAAGACTTCAGAATGATGTTCCTGGCCGGGTGTGGTAGCTCACACCTGTAATCCCAACACTTTGGGAGGCCCAGGCGGGCGTATCACCTGAGGTCAGGAGTTTGAGACTAGCCTGGCCAACATGACGAAACCCCGTCTCTGCTAGAAATACAAAAATTAGTTGGGCTGTGTGGTGTGTGCCTGTAATCCCAGTTACTAAGGAGGCTGAGGTAGGAGAATTGCTTGAACCCAGGAGGTAGAGGTTGCAGTGAGCCGAGATCATGCCTCTGCACTAGAGCCTGAGAGACAGTCTGAAACTCCATCTCAAAAAAAAAAAAAAAAAAAAAGAATGATGTTCCTAGTTTGATTTATCCTTTCAGTAATTCTTAGGGTCATTTCACAGATAAATAAAATGAAAGTAGGAAGACATAAAACACCTTACGAAAGAGGTTACATCAACTAAGTAAGAAAATCACTTCACTGTGTGGAAAGTGTTATCAGATCATACCCCAAATATTAAGAGTAATACTCTTTCAAAGGCTAATATTTGCATAGGCAGTTAATACATACTGGCGAAAACATATTGTTTTTCTTATAAAATTGAAAAGTATCAGCAATGTGTAGTGTGCATTTATTTGTTCAGAAGACATTTGTCAGAAACCTACCGTGTACAAAACACAAGCATGGTTCCTCAATTCTGCCATGAAAGAATGATATATTAGTAACATTTGAGTTGTAATTTAGAAGCTTTTATGATTATGACAGTCTGTGAACTCTTAAGAATACTTTTAAGTGTTCTTTAAAATGATTGACTCTAATTTGTAATTAGAAGAATCCTTGAAATGATTTCTTACCCCTGTCTGTGTTTAAAGGTCTCAGAAGCTCAGGATCTCCAGCGTCGTCCTCCTTACTGATCATTCTTTATATGAAATTCTCTCTTTTTGTGGTGATTCTGGTCACCACGGGATTTGTTTTCTTCCGGAGGATAAATGATGTCAGGTAGGAACTGAAGCCTGAAAAGCAAGACACAGTAGGAAAAAAAATCATTGTAACATTTTGAGTTTACAATGTACTGGGAAAAGCTTGACACTCTTGGTATGCTGTATTCTCCCTCCAGCCCCTTCTTTAATGTGAAGGCATCAGTAAAACTGAGAGCCCAGGCACAGATGCCTGCAGCAGTGGGGCAAGGACTTCTGCTTCACTGTGGCTTTGATCTAGGAGAGAAGTGGCCTAGCCCACAGCTTGAGAATGTGGTGGGGGAAATAAAGTTTCTAGGGCTTCTCAAATGTTTCAAATTTCTCTGTAAAGAGCTTGTGTTCATTCCTGCTTAATCATATAGTTCATGTGTTTCTTTTTTCCCCAAAGAATGAAAGTCGAAGGAGCTGGAAGTCAACTTACATTTGAGACATCACAAAAAAGCAGCCATTTGCAGTAAGCCTTCATGTTCAAAGTCTATCTTAACTTCTGTAACTTGATGTGATAGTTACTGATATGGTTTGGTGCTGTGCCTCCACCCAAATTTCATCCCCAATTGTAATCCCCATGTGTTGATGTGTTGAGGGAGGGACTTGGTGTAGGTGATTGGATCATGGGGGCGGTTTCCCCCATGATGTTCTTATGACAGTGAGAAAGTTCCCACAAGGTCTGATAGTTTTATAAGCGGCAGTTTTCCCTGCTCGCTCTCCCATCTGCCACCATGTAAGACATGCCTTGCTTCCCCTTGCCATCTGCTGTGACTGTAAGTCTGTTGGGACATCCCAAGCCATGGGAACTGTGAGTCAATTAAACCTCTTTCCTTCATAAATTACCCGGTTTTGAGGAATTCGTTATAGCTGTGTGAAAATGGACTAATAGTTACCAAGACCTATTTCAGACTCTTAGCATACAGTGTTAAGTACACATGCAAAAGCTTTGGGGCCTGCCGTTGTAAATGCCTAGGATACTTTATCTACTTTCCCATTTCCCTTAGTCAATTTTTATTTGCAAAAGTGAAACAACTGCTTTTCAAACTAAAGAGGAAGATGGCTCAGCAAAAGGCAAATGACGATGCTGGGCAGTTTTTCTACACCCTTTAGGTTCTTTGAATGGTGCTTTCCTCTTAGCTTCTTGGCTCCTCTGCACACACAAGATGCTAATCAACGCTGCAATGGCAGGAACCACTGCAAACACTGTCTGCAAGTCAGCTAGCAGCTGACCTTTCATCCATTACTTCCTTGCTAGCAATTAGTGGGGCAGTAGTATTGCATGTTTGGACTGATTATTGAGTAAATGGCTACGTCATTTTTAGCAGTATTTACATTTTAGCAGAAATTGTTTAAGTTGATCTCCACTAAGAAAATGTCAGGGTCACTGGAGATAACACTGAATGTCCCCTTACTTTTTAGACCTCGAATGTCTCAACTCCCTCTCTTGTTTACACTCAGATTTCAGCAGTTGGATGGATTAATGATGGTAAGAGTAAGATATTAGTGAAATCCTTTTATCTTCTAGGGCCATTGTAAACTGAGATCCAATATTCACTTCATACAGATGGTAATCATATAGTAAAAAGTATTTTCATTTAAAAGAAGACATCTCTCATTTAAATTAGCAGATTGATATGATTTGGCTGTGCCCCCACCAAAATCTCAACTTGAATTCTATCACCCAGATTTCTCATGTGTTGTGGGACGGACCCAGGAAACGGTAATTGAATCATGAGCACTGGTCTTTCCCACGCCATTCTCATGATAGTGAGTAAGTCTCACAAGATCTGAAGGGTTTATCAAGGGTTTCCGCTTTTGCTTCTTCCCCATTTTTTCTTGCTGCCACCATGTAAGAAGTGCCTTTTACCTCCCCCCATGATTCTGAGGCTTCCCAGCCATGTGGAACTCTAAGTCCAATTAAACCTCTTTTTGTTGCAAGTTTCAGGTATGTCTTTATCAGCAGCATGAAAACGAACTAATACGCAGGTGATTTGGTCTATTACTTTTATTTTTAGCAAAATCCTACGGAAAAAAATGAATGTATAATATTGGGTCATATTATATGCATATGATCATTTAATTGCTGAAACAAACAGGCCCTACATCTCAGTGTATTCAAACCACAAAAATTTAATTCTTGCTCACATCACACTACAGTGCAGTTGGTGAGGCCGAGGCAGTGGTGGAGGAAGGCTGTTTACTTTAAGATATCATTTTATCCTATGGCTCTGTCCTTCTCAGAGTATTCTCTAGTTCAGCTGGTGAATAGGAAACAGGGAGAGAGAATGAAGGATGTTATGTGGGAGGTATTTATGGGCCAGGCTTGGAGTAGTAATCACTTCTGCTCACATTCCATTGGTTAGTTCTTAGTAACATAGCTATTCTAACACCCACAGAAGTTGGAAAATATAGTGTAGCTGCCTTGAAAGAAAAGGAATCAGGTTCACTGTGACATATAGCCCAGTCTCTGCCCACAATATATATACATATATATAATATGATGTAAGCTCTTGTGTGCCTTTCTTTTTTATTATAATTCCTTTATGTTTAAGACAGGGTATAGAATGGGAAGCAGTCTACTAATACAATTCTGTAACAGACTAAAAAATACTGTGGCAGGGATTGATGGTTACCTGGTTGTATTAGGCTGTTCTCACACTGCTAATAAAGTCATACCCAAGACTAGGTAATTTATAAATGAAAAGGTTTAATTGACTCACAGTTCCACAGGGCTGGGGAGGCCTCACAATCATGTTAGAAGGCAGAGAGGAGCAAGCCTATGTCTTACGTGGTGGCAGGCAAAGAGAAAGTGTGTGCAAGTTTCATTTATAAAACTATCAGATCTCATGAGACTTATTCACCACCTTGAGAACAGCATGGGAAAGACCTGCTCCCATGATTCAATTACCTCCCACCAGATCCTTCCCATAACACGTGGGAATTATGGGAGCTATAATTGGAATTGATTTCTATTGATTATGGAATTGATTATGGGAGCTACAATATAGAATTGACTTCCATAACATGGGAATTACGAGGGCTGCAATTCAAGATGAGATTTGGGTTGGGACACAGCCAAGCCTTATCACTGGTCCAAAGCCCATCCTCCCCTTTCTCCTTGTGAAAGATGATTATACTCATGAGTCTGCATCTTCACCTCTCCTTCTATCCATGCAGTTTTTCAGTTGACTTTAGAGTTCTCTCCATACAGACAGTACATATTTATCCATCCTATGCAGTTTGCTTTGGCCAATACAATGAGATGGAAGTGTTAGTGTACCTGTTTTGAGCACAGGTCTCAGGAACTTCTGTTCTACTTGATACTCCATGAGAACGTGCCTGGCCCAGCCAGATGGAGGATGAGAACCATGCAGAGCAAAGCTGAGTCCCATCAGTCCCACCCCTACCTCTCTGTTGAGGCCAGTCTAGAAGATGCAATAGTCAGCCATCCCCTAAACACATGAGGAAGTGCAGTCAAGATCAGAAGACTTGACCTCCACTTGATCTCAGGTATATTAGCAATTGTTGCCACAGAGGTTTTATGGTTATTACACAGAATTCTTGGTATCTTAGGTAACTGACACATTGCTTAATAGCATAACTCCAATTTAATTTATTGTTGGAATGTACTTAGCTAAAAGGCATTTCTCAGTTTCCTTTGCTGATTATGCCCACTTGCGTAAGTTCTGGTAACTGAGATATAAATACAAATCTTGTGGAGTATTTCCAGGAAAGCTCTTTAAAGAGAAAGGAAGGGTCCTCTCTTGCTTCTCTTCCTTGTTTCCCGGACTGCAACACGGGTGAGATGAGTGATGGTCCAGCAGCCAACTTGGGCCATGGGTGATGCTGAGGACAGAAACCACTCAGTAGGACAGAAGAAAAGAAAGATGGAAGAAGGATCCTGGGCTTGATGACCATGAAGTTTCCCTACAAACTCTCAACCATCTATTCATTGACTTCTTTTGTGTGAGAGTGAATAAAATTTTGTTCTTGCCAGTGTTATTTTCAGTTTTACACTACACATAGCTAAACTTAATCCTAATTGATGCAAATACCTAGTTTGTTAATATGAAGGTTTGTGTCAATGTTGCTACAAGTTATTTTCTACTCATGTATGTTCTCACGCCCAATTTTTGTTCTTCCCCTAGTGACAATGAAACAGATGTTCCCACTCATGTGAAATTGTTATGGTCCATTTTCATTATTGCCATAGAGGTAATGAAAGGATGTAACTTCAGAAGATAGGAATCATAGGTATGAGAGTTATCTCTATGACACTTTAAAAAAATTGTTGGTTATATAAAAGATCTTCTGGGCTTGTGGTAGAGAAGAGCTTGAGAACTTGGAGGTATGTAAAAATGATCTAATTGTTAGCCAGTACCTAGATGTGTGAGAACACGTCTACATTATGCAATTCAGAAGGAAGATAAAGATATTGGTGTGGGCTTTTAAAGAGGATGTGAGCAGGAGAAACAGAAGAACTGAAATCTATGAAACTTTCTTGTATTAATTCTTTTTTTCCACTGGATGAACTTCATGATTTCTAGAAGAGATTTATGTGACTTCATGTTATTTCTTTATCCCATTCTCGCTGCCATAATTTTTCTGGGTGGGAAATATTAGACTGAAAGAGTAAAAAGCTATAGCTACTACCCCCATCCTCCCAGTCCTACATAAAGATTAAAAACTCCATATTCGTTTTTCTGAACACGTATATGTGTTCATATAGAGCTAATCTTTGAACAACATGGTGGTTAGAGGTACTAACCCTCCATGCAGTAGAAAAGCTGCATAAAACTTTTGACTCCTCCAAAACGTAACTACTGTAACAGCCTACTGTCGACCAGAAACCTTGCTGATAACATAAATAGTTGATTAACACATACTTTGTATGTTAAATGTATTGTATACTGTATTCTCACAATAAAGCAAGCTAGAGGAAATAAAACATTAAGAAAATCATAAGGAAGAGAAAATATATGTACTATTCATTCAGTGGAAGTAAATCATCATGAAGGTCTTCATCCTTGTTCTCGTCACACTGAGTAACCTGAGGAGGAGGAGGAAGTAGAGAGGTTGGTTTTGCTGTCTCAGGGGCTGAAGAAATGGAAGCATCCCACATATAAATAGATCTGTGCACTTTAAACTTGCTGTTCAAGGGTCAATGGTATTTATGCCCATCAAATTAACTGTGGTCCTAAATAGAGGGAGACTGGGAGCAACTTTTAGCAGAACACAGCTGAGAACCACTAGATGGTGCTTCAACTTAAGTCTCTTAACATTTTGAAGCAAGCTAAGATCTACTAACCTTAAGCAATGTAATCCTGCATCAAAAAATTTCCATACTTCTTCTCCATTTATAAACTCTTTAGATCTTCTTGGGTGGTTTTAGAACAATTACAGGAGGATAAAATGGTTTTACTTGAAATTCAGGGAAAAAAATCTTTTTGGCTCTTAAACTTGAATTGTACTACCCTCTCCACTTAATTTTAGTAAAAACATTTTGTTTACGAAACAAGATAAAGGGATATTAATAGATTCACTTCAGGGAAAGGGGAAATAGGAGGATATCTTAGTGGTTAAACCAAGATTAGTACTTGTTTCTTAAACTGGAAAGTTAAGATCACCCAAACGCTAAAATGCAAATAGCTGCTGACAAATAAAATTAGCTGGCCTTCTTCACTCCTAGGTCCTCCTCCATATCTTTTCCCCCATCATCTTTTAGAGGCATACATGGTATTCTAAAGTTAAAAGGAAGCTACAGATAAATGGGGTCAACTTCCTCATTTTGTAAAAGAGGAAACTGAGACTCTCGGAGGTAAGTGACCATGGAGTGTTTACTAAAAAGCCAGCTGACCTACTTGGTTTGCTCCTGAGAGGAAGGCAGCCACCATTAGGCCATAGTCAGACATGGCACAACGAAGGGAAGAGGGCTGACCATCTCTTTCTTACTAGTGAGGACTGAGAGCCCTCCACATGCTTTCCCTCCTGTCTTATTGGCCAAGACCATATGACAATTCTTTAGCCAAACCCTGACAAAGGGAATGAGATTATGCTTATGAAGATTAGTCCTTTCATGGAGATGAGACTAAGATCAACACCTTTCACTAGACACACATCTTGTGGGAGAGGAATGAACGGGACTTGAGCAAAATTGGGGCTTTGTTAAGAAGGAGAAATGAAGAATGCATGTGAAGCCTGATGAGGGGGATGATAACAGTCGAACTGAATTTTAGAAGGCACGTAAGAACATTGCAGGTGGATGAGAACAGGGAAGAGAGGCATGCTGGGAGGAGAGGACAGCATGGATGAAGGCAGAGGTGTGGCAGGGTGTGTCTCTTTCAGGGCAATGGGGAAATTGTCCAGATCTCCTCACACAAACTCTACATTTCATAAAGTCATCTGAGGACAGAAAACTGCTATTAAGAATGCCAGGAGAGTTTTGCAGGACAAGCAAATCTTGATCAATTTATAATGTTTTCTGAACAGAATGTCCAAATATTCTGACTGATTCACCCAACACTGATTTTTAGATTAAATAAGGAGCCAAGAACATTGGTTTATACAAAGTAGAGAACCAAAGAGAGGCCAGCAAGAGACAGCAGGTCTGACAGATGATGTCTCTAATCTCAGAAGGGTGGGACTTGGTTTCTGAGCTGGGTACAGCTGGCAGAGTTGAGACACTTCTCCTTTGATTTTTCTTGATAAAATATGAAATTTTTTCTTGGTTTTAATCCTGCTGAAGAGAGGGTTTGGAGGATAATCTTTATATGTTTCTAAATGTCCACGTGAAAAGTGTTATAGAAACACAAAGTCTTATTATCCTTCCTACTGTTTCCAAATGCTCCTCATGCACACATTGGTACATCAACAAAATGTGAGTGTGTTCCTCCCCAGAATGTCTCTTCTCCCTAAGACACAGGGGCCAACACACGGACACAACATTTTTAGTTGTGTCTTCTTCAGTTTGAAGCTCCCACATATTGAGGAGAGAGCTCTTCAGAGTATAATAGTTACCAGAGAAGAAAGAAATAAGCATCTCAGCACAAGAGAAGGAGGTCATGGTGCTAATCAAGAAAATTTATAAACATAACATGAGGGTGAGAAAAATCATTCCCGGGCTCACACAAAAAAATATATTTATTTCTTCTTTTTTTTTTTTTTGAGACAGAGTCTCTCTGTCACCCAGGTTGGAGTGCAATGGCGCAGTCTCAGCTTACTACAACCTCTGCCTCCTAGGTTCAAGCGATTCTCCTGCCTCAGCCTCCTGAGCAGCTGAGATTACAGGTGTCCACCACCACATCCAGCTAATTTTTGTATTTTTAGTAGAGATGGTATTTCACCATGTTGGCCAGGCTGGTCTCAAACTCCTAACCTATAATTTGCCTGCCTAGGCCTCCCAAAGTGCTGGGATTACAGGCTTGAGCCACCACACCTGGTTTAGAAAAAGTAAATTTAATAAGATACAGTAAAACAAGAGGAATCATGAAGTTCAACCAAATGTTATGACTTTTAGGGGAAAAGAATGAAAAGAATATGAATATCTTTCCAAATCACTGTCATGATTTGCCTGTTCCTAAGCATATCATCCTACTGGGAAACAAGTTATGTGTATGTGTGTGTGTGTATGTATATGTATACACACACACACACACACACACACACACACACACACACATGTTTATGAGACTAATCATTTACTCTTGTTCCTTAAGATAATAAAAATGCCTGACTACATTACACCTTTTCAGTTTATCCTTAATGTTATCTTTCTGAAAAGAGAGAGCAAGAGACCTGCTGAGGAGGGCAGTCTGTGGCTAAGATGAGAGGTTAATTCTGAAGGACATTTTATCTACCATGCAGCTTCCTGGGGTGCTGTGGGGACCACACAATCTAGAGAGGAAGCAGGTCTCCTCTGTAGTGGGCACGGTGTGGTCAGGTCATGCTGTTGGGAACTTTAACCTCAGATGTTACTGCCGAGCCTTGGAATGGACATAAACACTTCTGTGGACCTGAGTGAGGCTGTGTGGGAGACAGGAGCCTGACCAGGTTACGGATTTTGTGTCCCACTAGAGAGCCTACAGTTTATTTGCAATTCCTGCACTCCCAACTTTAAGGCTTTTTGCCTGAGGACACCATCTGCATCATAACACCTTCAAAAAACTCTCCCACAAACTTTCCCATATTCCATGTAATGGAAAGTTGCAACACAATTTACAAGACATTGAAAACCAAGGAGCGGCCCAAGATGTCAGCTCCAAGAAGCTACAGTAAATGTCTTGGGACCAGAAAGAATGATTAAACAACTGGCATTCCGGCAAGAAGCATCTGTCTTTTGTCACTCTCCCCAAAGCAACATAAAAATGTGCAGCGGAAGGCCGCTATTTCAGCAGGGGCAAAGGAGGTCAGCTGTTGGTAACATTTCCCACCACTCTCTCACAACTAAAACCCAAAACCATTACCTGCCAGTTGCCTATCAGGAGACGGTGTTTGCTGATGCGGCTCAAGGATGCCTAATCGCTATCCCTGGTAACCCATGGCAGCCCTTGCATCCTGGAGGATGATTAAATGGCAGAACCTAGGGAGGAGTTGGATGTGAAACCCTATCCCTATGCCAAACTGGGCCTAGGTTTTTACATTTTTCTTTTTCTTTCTTTCTTTTTTTTTTTTTTTTTTTTCAGATTTCTATCCAAAACATGCTTTTCTTGGCAGCCTCCCTAGAGGACTGTGAAGTCATAGTGCATAAATTATCCAACTCTTACCTCTGCAGGATGGTAAAACAGACTCAAGAAGACTTGCACATTGCAGCTGTTCTTGGGCAAGGGCTCTGGCCCGGTGGAAACCAGCAGATCCACCGGCAGTGCACACAGGCATACACACAGGCCGTGTGACAATGCACCTTCAGCTGTCCTCCAATACTAGAGTGAGGCTGTGTCGACCCAGTCACTCCAGATCTGTGCCTAACTTCTCAGAGTCAGCTGTTCTTTTCTTTAATGACTATCTTTCAAAAGGATGAGAAAGTGTGGAATTTCTCGGTATTTCTTATTAATAGATAAAAGATTAAATAGTTGTGTCTACCTTTTCAGTCTGTTCTCTACCACACTCCTTTTATTCCTATTTTCACACCCACTGTCCAGCTTTCTTAGAAATTTCTCTCTAGCCCTTCCTTGCTGCATTTTCTGCCTT